ACAAACCGACTTTTCGGTCAAAAAAATCCAGGATTATTGCCTGAGAGCTGAAAATTGAAGAGGAACATCTTTTTCGAACTTTTCTCAGGCTATTTAGACGAAAAAATGACCTCGGCAGGCTCCAAAAGAGAACGAAACAAAAAACAGAACGAGACAGTGAGAAGAGCCGATAATTTATTCAATTTGTTCACTGCGTCGCCTTCGTTATGTTCAAGTTAAAAAATCCTTACTTCTGGATAATTTCAGCCTTGCAAGCAAGCAACTGGTCCCAAATTACTTTCTGTATCCTTAAAAATGTCCTGACTTCCATCTCCGAAAATATTTGGCCGCAATTTTTGAGCAAATAAACATTTTGCCAACGGCAATCACCAATACGGTGGCTTGCATACTAATTTGCTAACTTTACAAAACCCTCCCGAGGGGGTATATGACGAAAAGAGCTGAAAAATGATGGCCGGCAATAGGGTAATTTTCTCAGCTTCTGGTGTGCCAAATTTGCTGGAAATAGGTTCAAAACCGATATATATATTTTTTTTCATGTTTTTTTTTTTTCTTCGGGTCACTCAGGATCCCATATTATGACATGTGCTGGAAGTAATTACGTCATTGGAGATTTCACAATGGCTATGACTGATGGTGCAATAATACAGGTTGTGTTGATCAAGTGATGTGGTGTCTGCAGTAATCAATGAATCATCAACGACTGCTTTGGAATGTGCATTACATTGTGACTGTAGCGCTACCAAAACAGTTAACTTTTAAAAGTGCGGTTGTAAGATCTTAAAGATCTTCTTGTTACAACTTGTTGATGATGTCAGCTTTGGTGTCAAATGACCAGGACTGCCTCTCTCAGTGATTGACAATGATTGGATAGTATGGTGTGACTTGAGTTTTTTGGTTAACCTCAATATTGAATTGTAGGGGAGTGGGGAGGAAAAATAGGTAACCTTTTCCAATACTTTTGTCACAGGTTATAGATGAGCTACATAAAAAATAAATCAACATTATACTTTGATCTTGTACTTACCAACTCATTTGTTAAAAGTTGATGCCATTCCTGGGCATCTTGCTGGGAAGGCATGTAATCAAGTTCAACCATAATCTCATCTAAAATCCTGTAAAGTGATGTGAACATAAATGGTTGTCTCCAGAGTAGACTGCCATTGAAGAGTAGTGATGAACTTCCCTAGTATGTCAATGAAATAACCTTTTCTTGGCAATCTTAAACATATACTGTAAGTTGTTTAGATGTATTGCACGTTTATCATCCAAACTTCTTCAGATTCTAAACTCTGGAAGACTGTGTCCATGAGCTTGTAAACCCAGTTGATGTAGCATTCTCATTCCACAGGGAATGCAAAGCCGATCTAAATAAACCGGAATTGCTTTGAAGATTTGTAGGAAGAATTTCAGAATACCTTGACCTGGAATAACTATTTACATTGCAATTTGCCGACGAAAGTCTGACACATTTAATTTTGTGATGGTATTTGTTCAGATCATTCAGTAAACTATGCACAAATGCGAACTGCCACAAATCGAGTCAATCATTCGCGTAGTAGGTGTAAACAGACTGAGAAGATTTGAAACTCTGACTCAGATCAGCAGTGGCCACCAGAATCACTTAATGCATTCAAACAAAGGTAATTGTTTCAATTGACAAGATGAATTACCCTGAATTCTACCAAAATTCTGTAACCTGAATGAACCAAAGCCTTGTAATTATAATTTCAGCTTTACTCATTCTTCGCTGCAGACTCTCCAATTGATCAAACCTGGTGATTCAATCTTCCCAAATCTTGTTTGCTGAGGTGCTTAATGTACACTGCCAAGAACTGGATCGGCTCTCACAGTTTTATGTACATTTTCTTGCGCAGAATAATGTTACAACAACTTGAGGCAAGCAAGTATATGTGTGCGAATGTTGTGCAAATGATCTCTGTGTATGATGTCACAAAATGTACTAGACCCAGATCCTTTTGACTCATTCTTTGACTCGGTAATGATTTCATTATAGCAATTTTTCACGACTGAAAATTCATAAAAAATTGCAGTTTCAACCAAAACCAAACTTTTTTTCGGTATTGTGATCAAGAATGTGTCAATATTGTTTTGGAGTAAAAAAAAATTTTGGGGTTATATGCGCTTATATCCAAATGTTATTGAAACATTGTTAGGAACTGCAGGCTTGATAAAAATAATGGCCATATTTTTCTCTCTGCATACCCTGCGGAACATCCACGGTATTTGTATGTTGGTTATCCATACTAGTGCCACTGATTCTTGTGTGATATTCATATGAGCAGCATAGTCTTTGTGCATTTATAAGCTCAGTTTGATTGAAGTATAAATAAATGTTATAAGTAGAGGACTCTGTGTCAAGGGACAGTACTCAGTGCATTGAAGTCACATTAATATTAATAATTAATGCATGTACAAAGCAATGTGTCCCAACATGTACATGTGTATAGCCATGTTTGTTTTTTTGTATGTTGATTGCTGGTAGTTATAATTTACCTTATTGTGTCAGCTTCTTCACCACTGATCTGTTCAATAATAAAAAAAAATTGCACATGATCAAGATTCCTTCAAGAATACTTCTCAAAACTACATGCTCATCACTTTTCTCAACAATTACATGTAGTAAACAGTTATTGGATGAGGTTTTTGTGATATCCAGAATAATCAAGGTCAAGGTAAGTGTTATCAGCTGAAGCTGAAGGCTGAGGCTGATAACACTAATCGAGAACTTGATGATTTCGGATATCACAAAAACCAAATCTAATAATTGTTTTATTATACATTGTTTTGAAGAAAACAACGACAAATGCATTATCACACTGAACACAATTTATTTTCGACAAGCCATGTTCTACTTCACTGTCTGTGAACTTGATATTGCTCTTGGAAATCATGCATTGCACGCGCAACCTACGAATTGTTCACTAATCTACTGGTTGCGCTGTTTCCCAGAATTAACTGTAGGCTTTTAGCCAATGAGGGCAGATGTCGACTACAATGTATAATAATATAGGAAATTGCAGTAATGCAAGTGCATTTAAGGATTTACACTTCGAGTGATATTTGAAAATTGCGTGAGCCTTTAGGTGAGTTCAATTAGAAAGAATTTTTAAATATCGCGATTAGTGTAAATCTTTAATGGCTTGAGCTTTTGTGGGGTTATTCATTTATTATATTACTGATAACATAATGAATGCACCTGCATTAATTTTTTGCTGCAGTGTAAATTAAAAGTAACAATTAACTGGTCCAGTCTTAGCCAATCAGAATGAAGTTATTTTCTCAGTCATATGATAAGTCAAGAAACTGTAAATGACCTTTGTTTTGTCTTCTCTGGAACTGAATAGATTGTTTTTGTATTCTCATTATTGGGCTGGAACTAGCTTGCAACTGAGGCTAATGCAGGGAGTCTTTTCAAATGCAAATGACTCTAATCGCTTTTTAATGATATCCCCCGCATGAGCCTCCGTTGCAAGCTAGTTCCAGTCCAATACCGAGAATAAGAAAATGGTCAATCACCCAAGTTTTTCTTTCCAAAATAATGAGCTTGCAAAAGAAAAAATTTTTGTTTTGGAAAACAACATACAAATCATCTCCATTTCGTAGATGACCCCCAGCCATGGTACACCAATGGCTGATAACGCATGATAGCTCAGCCAATCAGATTGTGGCATTTGCATCAGTATGCTACTGTTAGTAGTAGAATTCTACTAATCTGCATTATTTTTTCTTACCTCCAGGTCTAATATAGGATCTTGTGAGAATATCAGTGTTGTCATCATAACTCTGAAATTGAAGCAAATCAGATGTAAGTACATGTACATGTACTATAAGCTGTTGTAATGTAAAATTAATCCTGTTCTAAATCTGTGATAATCACGTGCAGTGTCTGGGTAAGGATGGGGCTACCCTGCTTATGGCTGGCAAGTTTTAAGGGAATAGAAACATTTGCTTGTTCCAATTTTTTGTTCCAGTGAGGTTCATTGCACACAGGATCTGTTTCCACACATTTTTCTGTTTCTTAACAACTTCAAAGAATATTCAACAAGTGTTTCTTTTATAGCTGAATGTGTCTATCACTCATAGGAAATGAAGACCATGTACATGTATGGTATAACTAGTGTGGTACTTTGATTTTGCTGTACACCTCTAAATTATAGAGTATTTTATAAATATATTCCTGCAAGAGAAAGATCACTGCAGTGTTGACCTAGGTAAATTGGTATTAAACTTCATCAAGTCCAATGTACATAATTATTATTCCGTTCATCAAAATTGGATAACATTTCTACAGGTAGTACTGATACTATAGTCATACACTACCAACAACATAAGGAATATTATTACTTGCTTTCAGACTGGCAAAATGAATATTTAGATAGCAGCAAAGTAGTAGGAAAGGCGTTATTTACCTGGTATACTCGCGCTGAAAAANTTGCAAGCTAGTTCCAGTCCAATACCGAGAATAAGAAAATGGTCAATCACCCAAGTTTTTCTTTCCAAAATAATGAGCTTGCAAAAGAAAAAATTTTTGTTTTGGAAAACAACATACAAATCATCTCCATTTCGTAGATGACCCCCAGCCATGGTACACCAATGGCTGATAACGCATGATAGCTCAGCCAATCAGATTGTGGCATTTGCATCAGTATGCTACTGTTAGTAGTAGAATTCTACTAATCTGCATTATTTTTTCTTACCTCCAGGTCTAATATAGGATCTTGTGAGAATATCAGTGTTGTCATCATAACTCTGAAATTGAAGCAAATCAGATGTAAGTACATGTACATGTACTATAAGCTGTTGTAATGTAAAATTAATCCTGTTCTAAATCTGTGATAATCACGTGCAGTGTCTGGGTAAGGATGGGGCTACCCTTCTTATGGCTGGCAAGTTTTAAGGGAATAGAAACATTTGCTTGTTCCAATTTTTTGTTCCAGTGAGGTTCATTGCACACAGGATCTGTTTCCACACATTTTTCTGTTTCTTAACAACTTCAAAGAATATTCAACAAGTGTTTCTTTTATAGCTGAATGTGTCTATCACTCATAGGAAATGAAGACCATGTACATGTATGGTATAACTAGTGTGGTACTTTGATTTTGCTGTACACCTCTAAATTATAGAGTATTTTATAAATATATTCCTGCAAGAGAAAGATCACTGCAGTGTTGACCTAGGTAAATTGGTATTAAACTTCATCAAGTCCAATGTACATAATTATTATTCCGTTCATCAAAATTGGATAACATTTCTACAGGTAGTACTGATACTATAGTCATACACTACCAACAACATAAGGAATATTATTACTTGCTTTCAGACTGGCAAAATGAATATTTAGATAGCAGCAAAGTAGTAGGAAAGGCGTTATTTACCTGGTATACTCGCGCTGAAAAAAAAAAGTAACGAGAATCCATGTTAGCATAAGGTTTGTGGTGCTCTGTTCAGTAAGCGAGCAACATTAATTTATAAACGGATTTTCGTGCTCTACAATGAAATTGTATTGATCATAACAATTGGATGTGCAAACAAATTGAAGAAATAGATAGAATGGGTTTAGAAGGAGGGGACGAGAAGCCTAAAAACAAACAGTAAAGGAGATAATATCGGTCTTTCTCGTTACAATAATGAAATAGCACGAACTTTTTTAAGATTTGGAAGCGCAGTAATTTTGAGTACTTGTATCCGTTCGAGTATTAGCAGAAGACTGAAAGTTTGTTTATATTTGTTGACGTGTTTCTTACTTACATTTCCTGCCATCTCTTGTTCAGATCCCTGCAAAATTAGAAAAAGTCGGTAATGTTAAATAGGGTAAACGTCTTCGTCTGCACGAATGCAAATTCAGTGAAATGTTTATGGCATGCGTAGTGTGATGGGTGTTAATGATGTTACGTTTTCACATCTATGTGATGCTAAGGCTCTATAGTTCTTGGTTTTACAGTGATTCGTTTCTTATAAGGCTTTAAATAACAAGAAACAGCCCGCGATTGCATCTGAATGCTCCAACAAGACTGATAATCCTTTCCACATGTAATGTAAAGCACTCGCCCGTCGTAAGCGTTCCTTTGACATAATTTGCTAGCTTTTTAGGACCATCAAAAAATGACTGAAGCAATGCTTTTACCGAGTAATTGAAATATACGGCTATAGTACATTTTCCGAGGAGCTCGACTACCCAAAAAGTACCTGTTAATCAGTGCAAAATGATCTCTCTCTACGAAATGACATTTGCATCTAGACGAGCTCTCGTCCGCCTTGTAGCGAGGCAAACAAGCGCGCCATCTTGTGAGTTTCGGACGTTTTTGGAGACCTAGATGTGAAGCAATGTTGATTAACGCCTACCTTATCCGAAGTCGGGGAAGAAAAACTACAGAAGTTAGCGTGATTTCAGCAAGAAGACGTGAAGCCGAACTGGGAACTAACCTGCACAACGCACGTGCAACTGTTACTACGCTTTGTTCACGTGATCAGAGCTGTCGACGATTGGTGGTTAAGACAAAAGAAATCATGCTTTCGCTGCTTTCAGCCAGTGAAGACGCTTATATTCTGGATAAGATAAGATGACTGGTTTGGGTTTACGACAATGACACGCGACATGTGGTTACAAAAACAGCTACAGGAATAGAGAGTATTTTCGTGTGGAGTCTATTGTCGCCGGCCGTTTGGCTGGTCGCGTTGTGTTCCGACTTTTAGCCAGGATCTGGTACGTGCTAGACAGTCCAAAACTCTTTTGACATTTGAATCTTGCACGATTAGGGAAACAATTAGGGAAACTTGAAAGCCCCTTATGGTGTAGATACGGTTTCTCTTTTTCAAGCAGCAATTAATCGGTTTTAAGTAGAGTTAAGCCTCCCGACGTCGAAGTTCAGGTAATAATTAGCAGTGTAAAAATAATGATGTTTTTTCCAGTAGTATTTTTGCTATTTTTGTAATTCAAAGGTAACAAAGAAATGAGTAGTATTAAATTAATGCACTCTATTGGACCATTATGAAAACGAAGCGCGTTAAGTTTTGATACCGGCAAACATTCTGGGGTTTCGCCTACGATCTTAACATGGCAGGTGCACTAAATAAATACTGATCGACGTCTTCCATTTTAATTTGCTAAATGAAGTATTTTTGGGGGGAAAATAGGCCATGCCAAATCAATTGTTACCAAGAAAACAAACTTGAAAATGACACGGCTTTACTTGAAGCTAAAAGTTTGCCCCAAATAACACAATCGCTGACAGAGATAACCATTGTAATGGCTGACCGATTTTACGAAAATTCTGCAATATTGTTTCGTGGTGCCACAACGCATTAGTTCGAAATTCAATATTTTGGGTCGTAACCATGCATCCTTAACTTTACACAGTATTTACTATCCGAAAAAGCTGAGGTAAATTAACTCAAATTTATTGAAAGATAGACTATTTTAATAAGTAATTGTAGAGACCAAGCAAAATCCTTGGCAAAAAAAATTATTGTCGTTGTAGTCCAAAACCACCTTACAGATTTCTCTAAATCTTCGTCCCACGGGGGCCCATTTTACGACTATTTTTCTGACGTTGTGAAAACCTATGATTACAAGCTGTCAGCGTACTTGAATCTTTCTAATTAAATTATTTGCCACGTTTTTGTTCGGTAACAAGTCCCTATTGCATTGGGTAAACAGCTGGGAAAATACATTTATTAACGTAATTGCATATACACTTTACCTTATTTGTAATTGTATCTTGTCCTGTGTGACGTCAGTAAGCTGATTGCGTGACGAGCCCAAATAAAGGTTGGTTAGGAGGCTGATTGACAGGTTCATTCCAAAAAGGAGGAGAATGCTGGAGAGCCTTTAGTCTTTATTCTTTAGTCTTAAATGTTGACTGGATTGAGAAACATTTTGCCAGTTCAAGTTGTACATGTAAATTACATATCCAGGCAACGGAATGTGCAGTGTTCTCTGGGTCGTCACGACGGTCGTCACGACGGTCGTCACGTCAATCGTCGCGTGACGAGGCTTTAAAAAATCGTCTAAGTTTGTCTAAAGCATGTCCACTTCTTCGACAACGTTCTGTCTAATCCATACTAACTCTCTTTCATCTGTTGTCAATTTTTAACGTCTGTCATTCTGTTCTTTCGTCTGCAAAAACGTTCAAAGCTGGTTAGGTTGTTGTTAGTGTGAAGGTGTCATTCTGTGTATTTTGTTGTTCAATCCGGTCAGTATTACGGTCTAGCACACATCCTCGTGTCTGAGGTTTGGAATGGTTGTTAATCGTAATATCATTCCAGTCCGCACTCGTGTTTCCTTGACCCAAATAAACCATCCATCTTGGATACTGCAGCAAGGAAAAAAATGCTCATCATTTTAAAATCTTTGACACGAAAATGAAATATTGCAAGAAATTATTGATTCCTTTTGCATATAGAGGTACATCCATTTAAGAGGACAAACGAGTTTTGAACTTAACTCCAGCTGAAAGTTCTGAGGAACTTTTATGTCAATTTGTTTGTCGCTGTTTTGGTAATTGACTTACCTCCGTTTTGTTGTCATTTTGCACGCTCTCGTGTAGACTTGCGGTAATGGTGTAGAGCGTATTGTAGCCCGTATAACGTTTGTGCTAGAGATCAGCCAGAGAACATGACTTGACACAAGTAGAAGTCAAATGGGAACTTGAATATTGAAGTGAATATTAAATTGTCGAATATGGCGGGATAGACCCCTTTGTTTTAAAACGGGATCTGCCGAGGCAAGTTTTGTTAGAACGTTTGTTATGCCAATTGTGTTGTAATCGGTTAACATAACTTTAGGTTGCGGTTCAAACTCGGTTGTTGACTGTCTTCGATTTACTGGCGAGATTAAGTTGTGATATGTCTCGGGCGTTTTGATTACCGAGTGGTGGTGTTTTAAGGTTTTATTAGTAATTTTGCATGACTCGATGTAGAAACTGAAACGAAAATAATGTTTGGGGTTTTGCGTGGGCGGACTTAAATTTTTGTAAACAACATGACGTCTCGTTTTAAATTTGGAAAGCCGGTTAACGGGTAGTTGACTTTTCATTTACCAAGCTTGGCAAAGACCTGCAATAGATCAAAAGCTCGTCCTTTGGGCTTCAAGAATTGAGCACAATATATTTGTGTTTGTTTAGTTCTTTATTGGAAGCCGATTTATCTGGGACAAAGCCCTATTTTAGATTTTAATATATGCAGGATGAGGGATTTTTACCAGCAATTTGC